AAGTTCTGCTGAAGTGACATGAATGATATCTTCAGGTAACACCAACCAGTAAGGTGTGGAGCTGAATCCTTCTTTATGCTAAAACGTTGTATAATTTTAGAGGAAACACCCATGATTTAAGTAAACAAAGAGCTGTTTGGCTTCTTAAGTATTTTTCTCCGAAGCCAAATAGAACAATACTGTGTAACTGAGAACTTATAACCAAAATGTCTGGTCTTACCTAAATTAGACAGTGAAATGAAGTGCAAAAGTAAGTGTTACACATGGTGAGTGAGCTTTATAGGAATTTGCAGGTCTGTTCGCCCTTCCCTCTGTTAGTACATGTTCTCCTTTGCGTGGTCATGCTGCCGCCTTGTGGGTGTTACTGGAGAGTATGCAGCAAATGTCTGTGTTTTGTAGTACTGCAGAAAGCAAGCGCTCTCTTTCTGGTTAAGGAGCCTAACGATTAGCAGTGTAGATGTTCAGATGCAATGCTTCATCTTCAGGACTGGTGAACAAGGATTTGCATTTTGCTTTGAGAAGTCATTTTTTCTGAGCAATATGTGAGTTCATGTGTGTTTTTTTTCCCCTGCTGACTTCAGAAACTTGAAAAAAATTAAATTACTTTCGTGTGCAACTTTTTAAATGGAAAAATGAGCAAAACTTGGTTTAGAAATACTCTAATGTGTTTTAATGAAATATAGAAGCATCGTCTTAGGCAAACAATTATCTAGATTTAAACCTTTTCTTTCATTGTTGTCCCCCAAACATGGAAATATTAAGCATTAAGCTAATCAGTGAGACTACAGCAAGCTCATTTAGTTTTCTTTCTGCATCAAGTAACTTGTTAGTTCATATTTATGGGAGATCCTAGAAAAGAAGGAAGGAACTTCCCTGGACTCCTGACATGCTGATCTCCGCCTTCATTTGGGAAAGAAGTGGGAACATACCAAACCCCTTCTTTCTCCACGTGGCTAGGTCCTTTTACTGCTATTTCCCTTACGGAGGTCAGGAGGAGAAATTAGCATGTGGAGAGAAACAAGCACTTCATCCTGGATTTTGGTGTCTCACAGGAGTGTGAATGAAATGCATGCGGTGCTCTTGCCTGCTCTTTTGGGAGAGCCTTTTTGGTTTCTGCCTACTTGCTAGGTATCTACAGTTTTATTGTGAATTCCATAATACATGTAGGTTCCTTTTGCACATTAATATTAAATATTTAATGCACTGAATGTGTGTATAGATAGGCTTTCAGATTAGGGATGAGTGTCACTTCTTGATAACTTATATATTGATTCCTGTTAGGACATCTTTAGCAATTCGAAATGCTGAGTGTACAGGATTGCTTATGCAAGGAATTATCTTACAAATATTATTTTTCTAAACAAAAATACTAGCATTGGAAATTCAGTATCATTGTCAGAGAATTTCTAAGTTTAGGCTTTTGATTTAAAAAGATAATAATCTGGTTTATGTTGGAAACCATAAAGCCAGAACATCCCGTTTTCCCCACTTTAAAATAAACTACACAGAACATGATACTGAAACCAGACAATTTCTTAATTCTTTTTTTTTCCCTGAAGGATAGTGTAGATTTAGAAACTGGTTAAGGAAGTTGAAAGATCAATCATCTTTATCCATGTCCTCTACCTTTGGAGGCTAATAATTTATAGAAATTTGCAGTTAGTTCTTAAGGCATTTCAACCAAATTATTTAGATACATATGTAGTGTAATTTTTAACATGGAAGGAAAAACTGTGCAGAATTCAAAATCTCATCTAAAACACATTAAAGGGCAGACAATTTTTGTGTAACCCAGTGAAATATTTCAGTGCCTTTATGTTAAGAGTTCATCTAAATACTTCTCTCCAAATAGTTGCTTCAGATATTAATGTTTGCTTAGCGTTTTACAGTCCATTTTCCTCCTAAAGTAATTCCTGTATTTTCTTAATATTGTTCTTATACTTTGCTGCTAGTATTTCTTCTACCGCAATTGCACGTTTGCCTTGACATTTTTTATGCAGCATTTGTTAGTAGTTTCCTCAGAGAAATTTATATTGCTTATTCCCAATCTTTTTCTGCAAATTTTTTTTTTCAGTATTTTTTCATACTTAGATTCCTTACAAGCTACTACCTATATAAAATTCTGTTCATGAGGACTTAAATTCTGGTAAGATGGCAACCTCTTATCTTTATTTTAGGTTAGAACATTATTAAAAGGAAACTCAGGAAACAAATAGCTCATCCTGTCCTTTTTTCATACATGTTTTTGTTACTCTTGAAACTCTTTCATCGTCAGAGTCATTCCCCTCCAGCAAAAATATTTTAGCCTTCTCTGATCATTTATAAATCATTGTCTAATCTGACACTCCTAAACATAAATGTATTATTGAGCACTGATAACACTGTTCAGTCATGAACTTCAGAAGTACTTAAAGGCTCCAGTTAAGCCTTCCGTGACCACTGTAAGATGTTTTGTTACTTTAATCCATCGTAGCCTACATGAGCTAAGTACCATATCTGGTAATTGAACTTGAAAGATTTTAATATTGAATGTTATTTGAAAATGAATTTCAGGGGTACTGATCTATGAACTGGTGTGACAGTTAGGACCTCTGATTTGTAGCATCGGTCCTGCAAGAGGTGCCACTGGAAAATTCATTTGAGTCGTTAGAAGGCTTCTAATTGATGAAATACACTGTCACCTATCTATTTGTGGCATTGATAGCTTTCATCCACTTTCTCTGAGAATAATTTTGTGAACAATGGCAGTGATTTAGTAATCTTAGTTTAGAAATAACGAATCTTTCCTTGAAATGCTCTCTGTGACTTTCTGGCCTGTGCTGATGTGCATGCTACCTATTTCACTAGGGCACTGGTCTTGCTTTCTCCTTCTGAGACAGCCAGCTCAGTTTTAGG